AGAAAAATATTGAAGTTATTTTTCTATTTCAATATTCTTGCTTTTTATTGCATCATGAAAATCATTCCATACTCCTTCCTACGATTATTTATGGCTTCTCTTTAAAAAAAAAATTGCAAAAATTTCACTTCGAATACTTTTTTTGTTATAAAAATTGAGAAAACTAGAAAAAGAAAGATGCGGTCAGCAAATGATAGTCACATGACTTTATTGTAGCTTGAATCGAAACTTTTTTTAATCGTTCATAGCAACGAGCAATTAAATACTTTTTACGATGATATAATTACGGAAAATGCATCTTAGTTCATAGACATACGTAATAGTAATTAATGCTAGAAAAAAGTGAAAGCTTTGCGGATTTTTGCTTCGAGTGAAGCTATCAGATCAAAATTTACAACGTAAGTAATATTAAAACTGGAATAATCGTCTTACATTTCTAATAGAGCAATTAATTAGGAGATGTTTTGAGTATTTACAAGTCATTTAAACATTTTAATTTATTTTTGTATTGTGTTTTATTAAATTGATGTTAATGACCTAGACTAGTTGAGTAAGTCAATACTTATACTAGGCAACTTAGTAGAGTATTATGATTAGAAAATACACAAAAGTACAACTTTAGATATTATAGACTTTTGAGAATATTACTCAAACAAAATAGAGTTTTATCCAAGTTTAATTTGATCGGAAATTCAAGAATTGCTACCGTTAAAGTTTGCTTAGTAAACTTTCAAAAATTGCTTATTTGTCTGTCTGTCTTGCAAAATTCAAAATTAAACCCCCTTTTTCTAAAAGTCAAAATATCAAATAATTATTGATTACGTGTTATTCTACTAATTCTGTTTGTTGATTAATGATCTTTAATCATAACAAAGTTAAATGCTTAATAATGCAGTCTAAAATTCTTTGAAAATCAAAAAAAAAATGTCAATGGTTTTTGTAAATTTGAAATTTTCGAATGTGCATATTTTAATACCCCTACACTTTGTAAAGCCTGTCGAAATTGATTTTCTACCATCTGACTTATACTAGGCAACTTAGGAGCACTTAAGTAATAGAATTATGATTAGACAATACTTAATTCGAGTCAGTCTCAAGAATCTTTTAAGATACTAAAGTAAACAAAAATGCAATTTTATAGATTATAGACTTTTGAGGATTATAATCAAACAAAATAGAGTTCAATGATACCATTCCGGATCATAAGGATCATGACGCTTATAAGTTTCGAACCTATGCTTGAAGTTTTAGATTTTTATAAAACCAAACTTTATCAAAGTTACTTTAACGAACTTCAATTAAGAACTTTAACATTTAAAAAGCAAAATACTCTTTAAACAATTCCAATTCATTTCCATTCATATGCTTTTTAATACAAAACAGAACTGAAAATGAAAACAAAACATAAAAACAAATATTAAAAGGGAAAACAGAAAAGGATCTAAATCACAATAATCGATACACACGAGAAGAATTTATTTTTAAAACTAAACAAAAAGCTATTCAATAGAAAGAAAAATGTAAATAATAGCACATGTGAGAATAACATATCAATTGATAGATAGCTTCATGTTTCGGTAAAAAAGGCAAACAAAAAAATAAAATAAACTTTCACAATAAATTTTCCATTTTCCTCTTTTGTCTTATTCCACTCCATCCAACATCCCCGTTTATTGATAAATGATTAAAGTTTTCAATATTTTTTTTTAAGGTTGCCATTCAAACCCCGCTCAAATAATACACGAAATGAAAATTTCGAAAAGTGATTTTCGATGTTTTTTTGAATTTTTTTTTGATCCGTGTTCTTATTAGACAAGCGAATTGCTTCCTTCAGCATCGATATTGAAGTAATTAAAAAACATCAGTACTCAATTAAATAGCTGATGACTGCAAGGCATATTAATGGAAAATCTCTTGTTCAATATTTTGAGATTCATTGTTGTATCAATTATTAATTTGTGTTCGATGCTTGGCTGTGGGATGAGATGATTTGTTTCGGTGATGTTTAAAAAAAATTAAGAGCTTATAAATTGAATAAATTTGAAATGCCGTTGGGTTTGTATGAATCCTTGTCATTCAAAAAGGATAATGTGCTTTGTTGTGATTTAAATGACAGTTTGTTATTTGAATCGAACCTTCAATCGTTAATATTGTTATTGAAAAATTGTGGATCTGTTGAGAAAATACCAAGGAAGTGTCGACAGATTTGGCTAGGAACTAGCTTTTTTAGAATCTACAGATTAAAGATTGGCATAAACGAGACATTCGAAGGCACTCAAAGCGAAGATTTAGATTTAAGCTCCAAAACTAAGGCCGATGCCATTGCTACCCTACTGAACTTAGTAAACTCTAGTGTACCCCGACAAAACATCACAAACATTCACCTTTAAAGCAATCCAAAGTCAAGTGAAATATTGCATCATTGAATTGCACCATAAAGATTCAAACAACATACAAAGAATTATTCCAAATCCACTTACTTATAATATTCCAATTAGCATCCATTATTAGATTCACAGATCATAATAATCTTAATCTACCAATTATTCACAAGAAAATATGAAAAGACTCTAATTAGGCTGCAGTTATGAATAACAAGAATCTTCATTTTTATCATCGTGGAATAAAAGATAATATCGCAAGATTATTAAGAAATAGCAAGATGAGCATACAAAAGCAAGAACGGAAGCAGAAGATTCTTTTATATTCATTGAATGTCTAAATTCGATCATTTATTCATTCATATCCCTTTTTAAGCTTCAATGGGATAAAGATAGACTTTACTATCCATTTTTTCTCATCATTCGACCATCAGGAGTGTAGCTGGAGAAGGATGAAGGTCTGACTTCGATGGTGAGGGGGACGAAGTGTTCCGATTCCATTTTTTCATAAATTTTAAATTTTTCAAGCGGTCTAAAATTTTATTTTAGTTTTAATTTTAATCAATTTTAGACCGAACTAGCTCAGACCCCCTAGCTACGCTGATGTTGACCGAATCATGTATGAATGCGTGTACCCCACGCTTATCTATATGTAAAAATGTATTTGAAATTGAAATTCAATTTAGCCTTTTACCATTCATTCGAAAATATACATACAACAATTTTTCATAGATGTCTTTTATGCTACAACATAAAAATCATCATCTCAAGTCGTTTATTTGCTTTCAGCACATTTCAATCATCAAATAAATTTCGCACAAATTTTTTATTTATCTTTTTTATGTGATCTGTTTCGGATATTTGTTTTTTTTCCCTTCGCTCCTTTTCACAAAACATATATCGATGTCTGTATGCGCTTTGGTACACATGTTTATTTGTATGAATGTACACTACGCCTCATATTACATATTCATCTAACACGCATCGAGTTTATTTTGACATGCTTCTTCTATATCCCATCATTTTTCTTTTCTTCTTCATTTCTCTTTGCTTTCTTGTGTATTGCCTTCAAACATTTTCATACATATTGAGTTTACGCAATGACGCGCTTGAAGCAAATTGGAATTTCAATCATTTTCATCTCAATATGTCGTGTGTTCTTAGTTCTTTTGGGGTTGTTTGTAAATGATGTTTGTCAAAAATGGATCTCCTCTGTCACAAAGGTTCTATACAGAAAATACACGTTTAAATTTAAGTGTCTTATTGAAACAGAATCATCCTTCCAAAAGTATGACATCATTTATGAACAACTCCCTCTTTATCTTAATCCTCTTTGCTTTTTCCATCCAATTTCTATTCATTCATTCTTGATGCTTCTCTGTATTATTGTGTAATGCAATGCTTGATGGCTGTGAGGATGGAATATTTAATGTGCATTGAGAATCTCAATAGAGAATCGAACTTTTCTTTAAAGCTGATATGTCGTGAAACGTAACGTGTTGTTTGATGGTTCCAGTTTGTATTGATTTAGAACTTATATTGAATTTATTAAGTTTTATATTGAGGTGTGGTGCTTTGGATATCATGCTCTACAAGTGAATTCCAAATGTAGCTTACCTAAAAAGTCCAAGTTAATGGCATTTTCAAGCAACTAGTCGCTCCTAATGTTATTGTAATTAGGTTGTAGAACTGCGCACTTTTAAGCGGGACAGTCCCGATTTTTTGAACAAAGTCTCGCCTAAATTCCTTAATGTCCCGGTTTTTTGAACCTTTTTTTCATGGAAAATGCTCAAAAACTTGGTCTATCCCGCTTTTTCAGAGCTGAAATCGGAACAAATTCCGATTTTTGACCAGAAATCGGCAAAACTGATGGAAAGCCTAAGTGTAAACAACAAATTCACTCTAGAATGGAAGCAGTTTGTAAAATCGTGTAAATGTTATTATTTAGACTCATGAGCATAACAGACGAAGGGTTCAGAACGTCCTAGCAAGGGGCTTGCAAAAAAATTCTGAATGTGGTCCAAGTAAACGAAGATTTAAATCTGAAACGGGAGCCATCGATGCAGTCAGAAGGTGTGGCTTATAATCTTGCCTCTCATGCATCACTAGTGCCATACCTTCAGCACTGGCCTGTTGGGTTTTAAAAATTCAAAACCAGTGTGACCCGAAGCCTAGTTTGAGAATTATTGTTAAAAAAATCAAAAGTCTTTTAATCTAGAAAGTTTCTAGTACCTGTTTTCTATAAATAAAAACAAAACACATGAAGTATGTTCATTTCGATTTAAACACAAAACTCCACCATGTCTGCTCAATTCCCAACATGCTCACAATTTTTAATCTTCCGATTTAATCTCGCATTATTCTCTTCTTTTAATCTTCGCAACAATGTAGCTTTCAAATGATTTTTTCATGTTTTTTTTTTGTATTTACTCAAAAGCTACCATCATCATCACCATTCAGTAATAAAAATTTATTTATACATACGTATTGTATTGCACTTACAATTGAAACTTTATACCTGCCGGTATGAGAACGATAAGATAAAAGAATACGAAAGAAATAAAACAAATGTTGAGAGTTAATAAAAATTGCTCTTTAATGGCTTTAACTCTCGTCATTAACGAGGCTCGTTAGTTTTCATCTCATCGCGGGAGTGGAAAGACGTGCGAGTAGGCAAAATAAATCAGTAAAAATTAAATTCGGTTAGCGCAACGTGATGACAAACATGGAAGATTCCTCAGTAAAATTTTTAAGCAAAGTATTTGATTTACTTAATGATGGTGATGTGTTTGACAGCAGTGATAAGTGTGATAGTGAAAAATCAATGATTGATTTCAGACATCCGTCTGAGTTGAAGGTGATTGTGAAGAAAATTTGATAATGTCAAGTGGCTATTGATTAAATATTGATGTGTGGAATATATGAATCATAACTTGGATAAACCACAATCCAAGTATTATTGATAATGTGAAATTAGTCTTGTATACTGAGTCTCCAATTTTTATGAAAGTATAACAAATCTAATTTTTTTGTATACCGATCTAATGATCCTTAGAAAGCTTATAGGAGGTTCAACTATGTTGGACTCTCTGAATGCTAATTCTTTAAGGTTATTATTATTATTATTATTATTTATTTGTCGACGTTACCGTCCGGAAGAATTAGTATTTATACATGTTTTACTTTTTTCATTGATTAGTGATACATTTCATATCACTATGGGTGACGTAGAATCAAGCTTCTAATCTTCAAATCTAGGTTTCGATTAAATTCAGGCTCTCGTTTCAATCTTCTGTGGGCGTGACGTGATACATTTCAGGTCCGTTCTGACAATATTCCATTTTAAGGTAATCTTGTAGCTCTCGTTTCTATTTCTCCCGCTACACTTCAAGTTCCTGATCCGTTCCTTAATCCAACGTTGCCCAAAATGCCAAATTATGGCTTGATCTCGTACATTAAGCAGTCGAAGTATCTAAACTTCTAAAAAAGAACAAATTTGGAAATGGCTCGATTCGAACCGACGACCTTCGAGTTACCATACCAAATTTGAGCCAAGCGCCTTACCTTTTTGACCAGCAAGGCACTTAACTGCTAAGGTCAATCTGTAGTTACCAAAACATTTAAGGTATGAGTTTTTTAAATCGGATCGAAGCCAACGACACAAAGAGTTAAAATTTGTGTTAAGATTCTTGCAAAGCTAAGATTTGAGGAATCCTAACCATAAAGTTCGGAAGCTTCCAAAATCAAGTCTTTATCATACAAATTCTGATGAACTATACTCAAAAGTTGTTGACTGTAAATCCATTGCTCAAATATCTATATTAAAAAAATGCCAAACGATAAGATAAAAAAATCCCTAAATCCCCATAAGACTCTATACGCATATCAAGTCGAGCAATACACCAAGCTAATCAGCACTTCATTCATAAAATTCTCCGAAAAATAAAAGGAACTCTAAAAATAAACCAACTCGTACAGCAGTAAATGTCAAGTGCCATAAATTGCCTCAAAATTAAAAATAATGTGACATTAATGAGCTTACTCGTGTGAAGTGTATATGACATCAATGAGTGCCTTATCACATTAAATAACAAATTTTTTTAATTTTTACGACCAGAATGAAGTGGTTCGAAAATTTAAACTGAATTGCTGATAAGAAGTCATCTGTTTTGTGTTATTGTTTATGAAATCCGACTACAAAATTGAAATTCATCCTTTTATTCTCGCATTGAAATTCATACGGTAATCACTGAAATGGTCAAGGACAGATTTGTGTGCATCAAATGATAGAATATAAATCTCCATTTGAATTGCAATGTACTTTTCCGATTAGGAAATTGTGAATTTAAACTAGGAGATGTACAACTGTGATGCACAACGGGGGAATTGGAAATATTGATATTTTATAGACGACACAGCATAATAAACTATGTTGGACAGATGTTTTCTATATTATTTGAATAATAGAAAGTTTTTCACAGAGGAAATTGAAGTTTTTTTTTGTGTCAATTCATTCAATTTAATGGATTTTTATGAACTTTAAGTCATGGAAGTTTCTATAAGTATATTTATGGATGACTTTGGATCTGTTTTTATTGCTGTGTGATTTTTGGATTATTTATGGAAATTCCAATAAGCAAGACTTATAATTTAATTATTAGATGCGTATAAAAGAGGGTTACCGACATTTGCCCGCTGACATTTTCCCACTGGTACTTTTTCCCACTAATATTCCAGTAGGTAAAAGTACCAGTAGGCAAAAGTACCAGTGGGAAAATGTCATCGGGCATATGTAATGTGGGCAAATGTCCCAAACCCGTATAAAAGCAGTCAGGTATCCCTAAATTTGAATTAAATTGAAAAAGCAACAACAAGCATTCACAAACTATGTAATCCTCTTGTTCATTGAATCATTACTAAGAACCAAAAGTATAAAGCAATAAAAAATCTTTACGTCATTAAAATTACTGTTGATTCATTATAAGACATCCAAAAAAAATCCCAAGAATAATTAACAAAAGACATTCCAACAATGAAAACTATACGACAAACATGCGAACAAAAAAAGAGATAATAGGATGCAATAAATCGTACTGTCTATAATTCAATTACAGTCATTGAAAGGAATCAGCTTTCTCATATCATTTTATGTATATGCATGAAAATCTTGTGCGTGTAAGCCTATTAAATTCTATTCAATTTCTCTCTCTCCTCTCTTAATTTTAACGAGAAAGCAAATTCCAATGGCACTTGTTCGACATAGATATTTGCATAATATTGGTCATGACATATGTGCATATATACATGTTCACATTTCAATTCATCTCATTTTAATCACTCATACATATAATAATTGAAAAAGTCTTCATATTTGAAAATTTCGCTCTGTTTTAACATGCATATGCATTCACGAGTATGTTGGAGCTTAATTTTTAAGATAGATTGCGGATTTATTTGTTCGTTTGACAGTGCGGTATTGAATGCTGAGCTTCATGAGTATTTATGAGTACTTATTGAATTTATGAGAAATGTGCTGAAAGGTTTTGTAAGTTTGTTGGAATTTTATGATGTTTAGGTCTGGTGTAGCACTAGCATTGCTTAAGTTTATAGTAAATTCAGTCCCATTTGGCCTTAAGACCAGTTTTTAAGGCTTCTTAGGGTCTCCTGTCTTTAAATCAAAAATCTATGTACTTAACAACTTCGCTATAGATCTTTACTATAATTGTAGTTCAGGAAACCTTTCACTACACCAACTAAAATAATATTTATGTCCTCAAGTGATGAATATCGATGATTGAGTCTAAGGAAGGTTCGACAAATAGCTTCAGAAGCTGGTTATCTATTTTTTTGACATAAAAACATAGCAGTAGAGACCACTTTGAACACCCCTTACGATGCATAAAGTGAGAAATATTCAAAAAAGATATAAAACAGCTCTAAAACAGTAATCAGATTCCATTTCAACTTAGTGCGTTCCAAACCTCTCACTAATCTATTTCAATCTTCCATAACAAAATGCTGAATGCTAAAAAAATTCCAAAATAACTCTCTATCAGCCACTCGACATCACATATATTTCAGCATATATCAATTCTCTGTCTTTTTTTTATCAATTGCAGAAACTGATACCATTCTCATTGACCGATAACATAGAAACGCAACATGACGATGATGAAATTGAAAAGCTATGTCGAGATGTTATTAAGTTTTCGGTGAAAACAAACAATAGAAATTGTCACAATCAACTGTTTGGTGGCTTAAATTTTTATGGTCTCGGAGCTGAATGGATGACGAGTGCTTTAAATACAAGTCAATACACATATGAAATGGCTCCAGTATTCACATTGATCGAGGAAGCTGTAGTGAATATGTCACTTCAATTATTTGGATTTAAAAATGGCGATGGAATTTTATGTCCAGGTGGAAGTACTTCAAATATGTATGGAATTCATACAGCAAGACAGTCAAAATATCCCGAAACAAGACTTAAAGGTAATCCAGAAGGATTAGTAATTTTCACATCGGAGGATGCACATTATTCAATATTGAAAGGAGCAACCTTCCTGGGAATTGGAACGAAAAACTTGATTGCCGTAAAGACCAATGAGTCTGGTCAAATGGATGTTGATGATCTAGAAATGAAAATTAATGATTCAATTAAAAATAATCTTAAGCCATTCCTTGTCAATGCAACATGTGGCACAACGGTAATTAATTTTTCATTTATTTTGATTATTCCTTAATTGTATCTTTTGGGATAATGTCGTAAAGGATATTTGTATGCTTGTTTAGAGAACTTTGGAAAGGGGATGAATTGATTTGTTGGGCTTTAAATTAATGGTTTTTTTTATGTGATGGGATTGATTGAAAATGACGTGCTCATGATTTGACTCACTGTTCCTACCTTTGATTTTGGTTTTGAGTTCTTAGTACTGGCAATTCAATTAAGGACAAGCTTAGCTGCTAATTTAAAAATAAAATTAATTCAAATGCTTAAATCGAACAAGACTTTCATGATATCAAAAAATCTACTTCCATAACAGGTGACAAGTATGCTTGAAAATCGATAAGAATGAAATTTACTTTTAAAGGATTTGTACTCTTATTTATTTATTTTTGATAAGAGCTCACAAATTAATAAAACAGAGCATCAATCCCCCAAATAAAAATAAACTCATCAGCAAACTGAATTAAAGCTCCAAACCCTCAACAACCATCTAATTTAAATTCAGAAAGAATCCAATTTAATTTTAAGATGCGGAAATTTTCTACATCGCTAAAGATTTTAAATTATTTTGATGACCTTGCAAAAAAAGAAGTACCAAAAACTTCTTCTTTCCTTCCTAATGACCATTTAATTTTCTCCAGCACACAAAATTAAAATCCTACAATTCATTATCTTTTTTTTCTTCTATCTCTCTTGCAGGTACTCGGGGCATTCGACGATTTAAATAAGATTGCTGACGTATGCGAAAGATATAATTTGTGGTTGCATGTCGATGCTTGTCTAGGTGGATCTGCAATTTTCTCCCGAAAACACAAGCATCTGTTAAATGGTAAATGATGCATTAAAAATAGATATAATATTATGATGATGCAGCAGAATGGTTTTTTTGTTGTGGACTAAATGTTGATGAGGAGATTTTCGCTTTATTTTGTCTGTTTGATAAGAATTTTTTAATAAAATAGCTATATTTCTGCTCAGATTATGTAATGAAAGGCCATTGCCACTTTTTTCTATAAGAATAGCTCAAAATCTTTGATTAATTCAGCTTAAAACCAGCTCTATTGCTCAAAAACTTTTCAAAGTGAGAAAAATTTAAAGAAGCGAGAAATTGATGCGAGAATTTCAAACATTAAAAAGTCGTTAAAATTCAAAATTACCTCAACAGCGTTTAATCCATCAAACAACTAAATTGTATCTAATTTTCCAACTCATTAATTTTCAGGATGCGAGAGGGCAAACTCAATTTCATGGAATCCTCACAAGACTATGGGAGTTCCACTTCAATGTTCCTTATTCATGATAAATCAGAAGGGAATTTTGCATGAATGCAACTCATCATCAGCAACATATCTTTTTCAACAAGATAAATTTTACGATACATCGTACGATACAGGCGATAAATCGCTATCGTGCGGTAGGAAGGTTGATGCATTTAAATTTTGGATAATGTTCAAGAAGCATGGAATGATTGGATTTGAAGCGATGATTGATAATGCATTTGAAAAGGCATCCTATTTTGCAGATCAGGTTAAAAGTCGTGAGGGATTTGAGCTCGTAGTGCCAATACAGTATACAAGTATCTGCTTCTATTACGTTCCTGAATACATGAGGAAGCAAGAGCAACGGGACGAAACTTGGTGGAAGGGAATGTCAAAAGTAACAGCATTTATTAAAGAGCAAATGGTCATGAATGGAAATTTAATGCTTGGATATTCGCCATTGGCAAGTAAGAATCTTGGGAATTTTTTCCGAATGGTCGTGACCTGTCAACCACTTGCTACTTACGAATCGATGGATTTTGTACTGAATGAGATTGAGAAAATTGCTCGAAAATTTGAGTTTCATGATCATTTCTAAATCGTCAATGTCCACCGCACCATCATGTCTGAAAAGAAATTTTATCATCGCATAGAAATAGAAATGAGTGAAACTGGAAGGAAGGAGAAGAACAAATTCAATCAAGAAAAGTTTTATGACTCAATTCATATTAAATAATAAAGTTATAAATGTCTTTCAATCAAATTTTTGTTGCTAGAAGTCAATATGGTAGCAACAACAAGCAGTATCTATGGTGATGACATTCAATTTTCATAATTTTATCATTCTTTGTGAACTGGGGGTTGTTTATGTATGATGTCAATAAGATAGTAAGGTTTTTTGATTCCCTAGAGGACTTAAGAAGGCACAGTTTACTGAAAACTGCTTTAAAATCATTTTGATATAGCAAAATATTTTTAAGGAAGTTGTTGTCCCCCTGGTGTCCTTCTTTATGACATTTTGGATATTGTTGATACTAAAAGTGACTAAAACAACAGTAATAGTACTAAGTGACTATGTGTAGAACTCCCTACAACTTTCGTATGTGTATACACTTGTAAAACAAGTCGGGTTTGATGAGAGTCGAACCTGCGACCTCAAAAGAGGTGATCTTTGACCACTCGATCAGAGATCCCTGCTACTAGACCACCGAGGTACTTATAACACTTCGGCTTTCCGTCATACACATACAATAAGTTTAACTGCGAGCCCTTTGCTCAGACCTATTTACTCCAGATATGCTCTTCGAGCCATATCCACACTATGAAGCCACTATTGTCTCTAATCCATAAATAATTTGCACCTTCTTACCCATCTTAATTGACATCATTTATTAACAACTCCACTAGAAATACGAAAAATAAATTTTATTTAATGGAAATAAAGAAATAAATTATGTTGGTTAAATAAACAAAACAACAAGCACAGAAAAAAAAAGAAATTATTGCTGAAATTTTTTCGCCTTTTTACCTCCTCTTTTGCTGCTCATCGCTTCTTGTTGAATATAACTTTTTTTTTGCATGAAAAATGTTTTTTAAATATTTGCTGAAAAGGAAATTAATCAGAAAATTGAGTCGTTTATGAACGAGGGAAAAAAATGAAGCTTTTTGCACTCTGCGATGTTGACTTGGTGAATATTGAAGCTTTGCTGTTCTCACAAATTGCTTTGGGATTTTATTGAAATAATATTTGAGGTAAATGAACCTTCTTGGGATGCATGATGAAGTTGATGATTGTTGTTTTAAGAAGTTTCTTTTGATTTATTTTAAACCTGTTGAGTTTGTTGATTGCTGGAAGATTAAGCAGTCATTTATTAATTTTTATGGAGGTTCTCAAGCTATTTAATAAGCTACTTTAGTTACCCTCTTTCAGTATCACTCAATTTTTGTCATTTCCTAGAGTGTTGCTTGATTCAAGCCTTGACAAATTTAATTCATAGACTGAGTGTCATCTTTTCTATTTTAAATAGATTTTCATCCAAAGTTGACAATAGTTGCTGCATTACATCTTGCAATTACCACCACATCCATCCCATATCACTTTTCAAACACCAAAATTCTTTTAATTTGTCAAACACAAAAAATTTTGCATTGAAAAAAAACTTTTTGTAAATTGATCAAGTAAAGTACAAGCCAGGCACACTCAAATAACACAAGACTAGATGCTTGTTGAAAAGCCATTAAATGAATGAGTAGAGGTGCATAGATGAATGGCCAAAAAAGTTTGGTTGTTGATAAATGGCTATTCAAATGATGAACTTTTCAATCACAGTTTGCAGTTCAGTATCAAATGAAGAGTAAAGGCTAGCTTCAAAGAGAGATGTGAAAATTAGTAGGCTTGAGTTTTGTAGTAATGCGTTTTTGCGTTAGAACTTTTCATGTAAAAGAGAGGAATTGTGATAGAATGGAATGTGTAGAGTTTGATGTGTTTTTTGTTGATTTATGACGAAGGCAATTGGAATTGCAAAAGTTTAGTAGCTCAATTGTGCATCTCACTTGTCAGAATACTTTAGACAAGCTGCCTGACACTCAAAAGTCCTTAGAATAGAATCTTAATGACATTTAAGCATCCAAAAATCATAATTTTCGACCGCATTCAACTGTTTTTCAATAACTCCATCACAAAACATCTTAAACCTTCATCATCAATCCCTTAATTACCAATCAATAATTCTCACATCATTTATTATTCATTGAAAACTTTAGAACAACATTGAGAACATTTATTTAATCCTTTACATCAGATGTCTTATCTGTAGGACATAAATTCTCATTTCATTACATTTTATTGATCAAAAGAGTTTCTACAATCGAGAGTAAAACTCATTAAGTTTTATAATTAAATCTATTGATCGTCTTTCATTTCACCTACATTGGACATGAACCAAGAATATTTTTATTGTGAAAAAAAGGATGGGAAGAGTTGGAAGTGGTTGAGTGACACATTTTGAGCTTATTAAGAGCGCATTTGACTGGTGAAAAATTGAAGAATTCTCTTTGAATTTAATGGCTACACAATTTCGCCTTAACCTTAACTTTAGGACAAAATGAACAACCTAAGCTTATCCTAACCTCAAAATCCAGCATATAATAAACTTTGAAATTGAAAGGCAAAAGTTTTGCCTTTTAATGATGATTATTATGATTAGGAATGGAAAAAAATTATGATAAAAGGTATAAGAAGAAAATCCCACTCAATATGCATTCTTAATTAATGACAAGGGTCATCTTTCCTAGATCACAAGTTCATAAAGTACGAGATGAAATAAAAAAATCCAATTAAAAATTTCTTTTCGTGTTAATGATGGAAAGATGGTAAGAGATAAAGTGAGATAAAAAAATGCAAGAATTTGAAAAGTAATTTAAATTACATTCCGTTGCTGTTATAATGAAGCATCGTTTTGTGGATGGAATAAAAAGAAAATTGGAATTAAATGTCAAGTCAAATCGATTGAGTTTTTGCTCGTGTCTTTGTCATTTCATTGGAGGATTTTGCATTAAAAAGTCAAGCGCAATTGTACAATAAAGATTCAGAATTAATTGAATTTATTAATAATTTATTGGATGTTAAATGTTGTTAAGTAGAATCATTTTAGAACTTTAAAGTTTGGATATTTAATGTCGAGAGCATGCACGAATAGCACAAGTCGGTTAATCGAATAGAAATCCGGCACTAATAATGGGGGGGGGGGGGGGGGGGGCGCGGTCATAATGATAAATAAATCAATGGGATTTGAACAAACTTCCAAAAGTAATGGTTACAGATTTTTAATCTGTTTGCAAACCACTCGGCCTCAGAGGCCTGCTATTTTCATTGATAGTTTTGCTTACATAAGGTTCGACACCTCAAATTTAACTTTGTCAGTTATGTGCCATTCATATCTAGTGCCTTAATATGGGCTCTTCAAATATTTCATTACGTCAAAAATCGTCATTTTTTTGCATTTTGACATCTCAAACTACAATTTTTCCAACAATCCTTCACACATACATAAAGTGCAATTAATTTTCCAAGAAGTGTTATTCGATGGATTCCGATATCATTAGGTCCTTTTTTTATAATAAAAGGATATCTCCAACTTTTTGGGTCAGAAATATTTTACAAAAATCTGTCGAATTAATTTCCATAGATTGACAAAGAAAGAAGATTTCTGGGAAGGATAAGAAGGACATAATCAATAGAATTTTGTTGAAAAAAAAAGTAAAATTCTTGCCATGCTTGATGAGAAATTATTGAAGATTAAATTTTAATTGATTTTAATCGTTTTTGATATTTTATGAAATAGGGTTTGTTTGGATATTAAGTAATGTTAATAAGGGAAGGAGGGATGTCAGGGTTTTAGAATGGTTCAAATAGATCAGAATTTAAATTAGAATTTGCCTTTAGATACATATCTCTAGAGCAGTGTTATACAAACTTTTTTCAGCACACGGCACACTTTGACTTAAGATATTTTTTCAAGGACACACCTAAGATCTTAAGATACGACACACTAATGTGCCACGGCACATAGTTTGGACAAAACTGCTCTAGAGAGTGACATAAACTTAGATTTTGTTTTGATGAGCCGCTTTAATAATGTCGCTTTTGATTGTTCCTTCGTATGAGTTTCTCAGCTGCCTATGCGTCATATCTTAAATGAGATTAATATCCAATTGGATTATTTCATCGATTTTCAAAGCTACATAATATCTGAAGAACCCACAAGCTGAAAATGAACTGAAAAAATCATTATAAAAGATTATGAACTTTTGAAGACCATAAATTGATTACAGTTCACATATTAACCCATAAAATATAATACACAATAAATGCGTAAAAATTGTTCATTATCTGTAAATTATATCCACAAAAATTATTTTTGCAAGCATAAAATTCCATTAATCAAGTGAAATTTAATTAAATTCATAAAAGTTAATACATAATAAAACAAAAGAAAAATTCCATAAGGATTCATTCATAAATGATGTCCAACTTTATAATGCATGGCTTCTTTTAAACAAAGAATGGACTTAAAAGATTCTAAAAATCTAAACTTATAATAAACGTCATTTATGATCGACCCCGAACACAACTTTATTTTCATGTCTAAAAGCCTTTCGACCTAATTTTTTATCCCTTTCACACTCAATTGCTCACATAGTTGCTCCTACTACTACTAAATACATAAAAGTGATAAAGGAAGTGATGAAACAAAGTCATTGCAATAAATTTTACTTTTATCGCATAGAAGAATAGGAAGCAACAAAAAAAAAGTACGAAAGATTGGGGAGAAGGAAGAGATGGAAAGTTAATGACTTTTTGTTATCAAAAGTAACAGCAACAGTAAGAGTAAGTAAAAGGTTGATGAACATTCATTTGCCATTCGTTGTAATCAAATTGACAGAGGTAGCATTATTCTCTTAAATTTACAGTCCACATTCATCTATGTCCTGTTGGATTTACTTTATTTTTTTGCGCTTGCCATTCGAAAACCGCTAACTGTACATTTTGTGACTTTGGTGTAGATGGAACGAACGTGATATGCAGAAAATCATGCTACTTAATTCAGTTGCACCTTTTTTTTGTGTTGTTGCTGTCTTATTTATTTTTCCAATGAAGGGACTTTTGTGCAAAGGGTATTAATGGATTTTGTCTGTGTAATATATGGAGATGAAGATTTTGGATGTTGAAATTGCCATGTAACTAGGTACTTGATAAGAATCAGGAGATAGTGAGCATACTTTGTGCCAAATTCAATTGTTATCTGTGAGTTTAGGTTTATTGATATCTTAAGGACTTAAGAGCCTGTTCTATTATTACTTTAGGTTTGCTTTAGTCGGTTGACAGTTGATAGCTTCAGTTTCCCGCTATTTGCGTGTTAAGAACTTTCCATGGAGCTTTGGTAACCAGTACTCAACCATCAACTTGAAGAACAACTTGTGCAATAAATTTGACACAAAATAGACAATATCTTTGGATTAATTAAAGTTTAGAAACAGCACTAACGTACTCAAAAATTCCAAAAGTTGCTAAAAACGTCCACACAAAAGCTTTCAATTCAATGAATATTCTTCACATCTCCTTTTCCTCCTTTGTTCCTTTCAAATCATAGCTTTAAGATTCACATTAATGAATTCAATTTAGATAATAAGAACAGAATATGAAGAATAGAAAGGAAACTTAAAAAATGCGATATATGCAGCATCAGCATCAACTATACAATATCTATCCATGTTAAACATTATTTTCGTTCAATTCTATTTCCATCCAGCAATGATTTCAAAAGAACATGATTAACATAAAAGAAGAAAATGATGAATTGGATTCAGAATCAAAAATAAGAACGAAGAAATTGGCAGACGAAAAAAAGATTCAGATTTTATGGATAAAATAATATGAATTATGAATAGTAGATAAATAAATGAAAGTCTTCAGCTTTTCTTGTG